GGAACTGGAGTTATAGCCAATTATTAGCTACCATGTTGGGTCCTGGGAACTGAATTTATGTCTTCAGAAAGAGCAGCAAGGGCTCTTAACACTTCTCAGCCCCAGCCCTTGTAGAGTTATTTTTTAAACTTTTAAGTGAATCACTTAAAGTAAGTATGAATATATAAAACAGAAAAACATGCTTTCTCTTTTCGGGGTGATTTTCTTTGGCCTTGGAAGCAGATTTTTGTGATTATTATTACTGCATGTCATCAGATTGCAGTCTGGCTCCCCACAAGTCACAGAACAACACAACTGTGCTGTTGCCAGCATTGGATCACATCTGTCCTTGAAAAAATGCCCATCTAACCAGCCCTGGGGCCTTTATAAACCACAAAGCCAAGATAATAAGATTAAAGAAGGAAGATTTTGTTGCTTTTTGTTAGTGACCTGAATATGGAAAAAGTAGGATATGCTATCAATAAAGTTTTTTGTTGTTGTTGTTGTTGTTTTTTTTTTTTTTTTTTTTTTTTTTTAAGGAATGACTCCCTGACTGAGGGCAAAGGGCAAAGAATTCAGGATGCAAACTCATAGCTCGAGACTTTCGAGAAATACACCATTTTCAAGTTAGTATCCTTGAATGCTAGCAGAAACTTGTGAAGAGGGGAAGTCCACATAGCAGGCTATTCAAACAAACATATGAGTTTCAACTTAAGAGAAATGTACACCCCATGACAAGCCAAGCAAAGCCTCTGGTCTTTGCTACGACAGTCCACTGCTAACCTATTTAAACGAGCTACACAATAAACAGGTGGAAGGGTAGGCCAGATGGCACACACAGGGCCAACAAGCCTGCTGTGCCTGGCTGTTGGGGATTACACCACCACTGAGTTCCTCAGGGACACTGACTTGGAAAAGAAGAAATTTTGTTGTTGTCATCATCCAAGGGGAACTGTCTGTTGATTGCAACAGTCCTGATAATCCTTGGCTTTCTTCCCAGGCCTGTGAGAAACTCCAGCAACATCCTGTCTTACTTAGCAAGTTTCTATTTCTCCTAAAAAGCTGCCTATCCATAAGTGCAGTCTGTGGGTCTCTCTCTTCCTCCCAGTCTGCCCGGAACTTCCTCTGGAAGCTGGTGTGAATTTGTCAAAAAAAAAAAAAAAAGGGGGGGGGGGAGTCTGGAAAGCAAATGTCTTAAGAGGCCTGAACCCAAATGGTCTATCTTTATGCTTAAGGGCCCAGGCTAATCTGACAAGCATTAACCAACGAAGATATTCCCACTGCTCAGGAGGGCTCCTTAATGCTAGTGAGGAAGGAGCCCTTGCAAGGCAGCAGGAAGCCCGAGCTCTGGAGGTCACTGCCTCTGGGGAGCAGACCATCTGGGGCTCCAGGGCTCTGGGGCTCAGGGCATCCTGGGTTAAGATGTTCAGGGGCTCTAGCCAACCTCAACACTAGCTCCTCAGGGTCACCTCAGCCACCTCCGCCCTCCCAGGGATATTCCCAAGCCCTTTGTCCTCCATGCCCTGAGCTGGGCTTCTGGAGCCATTGCTCCCTCCCACCCTCACCAAGGCTCCAGAGAAAGCCATATACAGGGCTTCCAGGCGTCCTTCCAGTTGAGCCTCCACTCCACTTCTTTCTCAGGACAAATGGCCTCCTCAGGCCAGGACGCTGGGGCAGTGGGGACCAGGGCACACACTACCTTCCTCCCTAAAGTGCTTCTGGTCTTCAGCAGATGAGTGCAGGCAGCCCCGGCAGCTATACACGTACAATGAGCGAGCGTTGGGCGCTCCGGGTGGAGGAAAGTTCTGGAAGCAAACTGGCTAGGCATGCGCACTGTGCATAGCCACACTAGAAGAGGTCACAGAATCTGTGGCTCAAGATTGCAGTACTTGGCTGATGCCTGCTCTGCCCAACTGGGCTCTGGTCCCTGCTTGTTGCTTATGAACATCTATACTGAATACTTACTGTATTAGGCTTCGAGAGCATTCTTCCAGGAAAGATGCTGTGTTATCATCATGTTCAGACATGGATCTTTGCAAACCTTCCTCCCAATGAAAGGAGAGAATATAGAGTATCCCAGATAAGCTAACATTGCTTACTCTATCTGCTCAATGAGGACAGGTCATGGGGTGCCACGAGAACAGACTGTGGAGCTAAGTGACATCCCAAAATCGGGATGCTGAATAAGGTAAAATTATCGCACTGCAGGGTAAGCATGAAGAGTGGTCACATTACAGATGCGAAGAAGACTCGAGCAGTGAGTCAAGGCATGAGAAAGACTGATGCAATTAGAGTCTGGAAGAGTAAACTAGACAGCTCACGCTGAGCCTTCTTCCTCTTTATTCTAAGAAGTCTCCATCAGCTCTGCTAGAAAGATTAGCCACTGGCTCCGTGGTGGTGGTGTTTGACGGTGTGATCTCTGTGTATACACTTTGACAGTTTTGTACATGCTTGTACTGAATTGTAAGCATTTTCACCCACCGTTGCCCTCTCTCATCCCTTACTCCCATTGAAACCCTTCTTCCCAGAAATGCCCTTCCTACTTTGAACTCATTTCTTTTTTGACTCATAAACGTTAAACTAAGGGTGGGTGGGGCCTCCTGAGCCCCTCCCCTAGGTATGATGAAACGATTGACGAAGTTCTGCGTGTCCTGAGCAGGTAAACACAGTAGCGGTGAGTTCATGAGTGCAATGGGATGTCACAGTCCAGAAAACTAGCAGTACTCCTCCCCAACACTGGCTCTAACATTCCTTCTAGCCGCTCCTCTAGGATTGTCCCTGAACCTGGAGGCAGTTGCCAACTCTCCACCCTTTGACTAGTTACAAATCTCTGTTTGACTGCTACCCACTGGCAGTATATTCTTGCTATTAATCTTTTAACAACCATCTGTGAAACTGGCCGTTGTTTTCTTAGGTAAGAGAGCCAAGGCTGGCAGAAGCTATCTATACGCAACAATTATCAAGTAGTAAAACTGGTACCTGAACCAGAGTCCACCCTAGCTGCCATCATAGTCATTACCAGGACTAAGCATAACCAATGGCTATATGTATCAAAAGTCACCTCAGGTTTTTTTTTATAAAATAATTTTTGTTAATATTTTATTCAGGTATACTAATCCACAGAGAAATGAATAAAGATTGTGCATCGTGTAACATAAAATGCAGATATGTTATTCACTTATTCTAAAATATGCATTCTTTAGAGATAGGGGAAGAATAATTACTCCAAGGACAACCATCAATCTGGGAAGGCTAAAAAATTCTTAGATGTCAGCTGGGACACAAGATGTAGATCTACAACTCCAATACAGGAGAATGGCAAGTCCAAAGCCAGCCTGGGGTACAGAGTGAGATCTTGACCTTATTTAAAAAAACAAAACAAAACAAAAACAACAACAAAAAACTTTTACAATGATTAGTTCAACCGAAGTTTAACCTCACTTTATAAAATCCATTTCTTAGTATAATATATATGTATATATATATGTGTGTGTATATACACATATGTATATGTATTGCTAAACTGTTCAGATGACTTATTTTTACTGGAGGAATATGTCTAGTTTTTATCTTACAGGGACTTCAGAGTACCTTGGGGTGTGTTGCTTATGTATCTAACGGCTCTCCAGAACTGCCTACCATTCAGTCAAGTCAGCTGGCCTAGGGGATAATGAATAGAGAGAGAAGGGAGCTACAGAGAGAAGAGGAAATGTAATTTATGTGCTGTTGTTCATTTTGTTCAATGGTATTCTTCCAGGACAAGTTTAAAAGGAAACTACACTATCTAGTTCACTGAAACCCAGGTGTAGTCATCTCTAGAGGAGATAAAAAGCTGAAAGCCTAGATCCAGCCTATGTAGAGACAACATCTAGATGTATACATACTCAACTACAGCTCAGTATCATCTCTTAGCTGTCATCTTTCCCTGTTAGTGAGTGTACACAATGTGTGAAGTAGAGTCAAAGTTTCTAATACTTTTTGCCAGTCCTATCTTAATTAACTATTGTGTGAAGTAGAGCAAGAAAAAAAAATAGCTTTGCCAGTCTTATCCAGTGTTCAGTGGGATGATTGCCGTACTTTCATTATATTCTAATTACAGCCTTGCCTTGTCTGGACATGAAGTATCATAGGACTATATATAGCACCAACACTATATGTACTTTTATTTGCTCCTTTTTCTCAGTATTTTGAAATGGTCATTTTTGGCTCTGTTTGTTTGTCCTGTTTTTTTTTTTCCTTTCCTCCAGCTCTCATCCTGTCCCAGAGAATATTCTCTGAGGACACTTGATATTATTCTCTCCAGTTTTGGTTTCAACAGCTGCAAGAATTTCGAACAGGCAGAACATTCGAATAGCTACTTTTTAAAAAAATTATTTGCTGTTAAATGCTGTTTAAAATCTGTAGTCTCTTTAAACTCCTTAGAAAATACATATTAATGCATGTTCTCACTTCACAGTCACACCACCAGTGATGCAGACACTTGGTGAAATGTCTAGAACAGGTAGAGAGGAATGAAACAGCTAATGTAATGAGTAAAATGACAGCAAACTGTAGAAACAATGAGAAAAAGTGAATTTACCACAAGCAGAAAATAATCTAGTCCCTCAACAAATTAAGATGTCTGAGAAATAGGAGAAAAGACTAATTAGCCATATAATGTACAGACATATGTACACTACAAATACCAGAGTCACCCCCCTGAATTTTAATACATCTCCAATAGGAAGCACACCTCCTACCTTCATTGTACGACACTAATATATTCATTGGATAATCCATTCTGCATCCAGGTAGCAACTTTAGCTGTGCTAAAAGCAGGCACTAGTGGTTTCACATCCCTTCCTATAAACTATCCGTTTATGTGAAATGGAAATAAAGCATGAAGAAATTCCCTGGGATCTGAGAGTAGGGTTTTCCCCAGGACAATCGAGTCTGTGGTTAATTTAGTTCTTCTAGGTCAGCTGAGGAGATCAGCCAATCAGAGATGAGAAGGGAAAGGGACTTCCTAAATAAATATGATTCCCAGGAACATGTTCTCTAAAGACATTCTTCGACTTGAATCCGACACAGTGATTCAATAGAACTCTGCTCTGCCATGAAGTCAACTGTTCTTTTTCTCTTGGGTATCATTCTCCTGGACCAGTGTGGGGTTCAAGGTGAGGAGTTAGTATTGAGTTAGTAAATTCAGAGATGTGCATCACTGAGAACTCAGAAATCAGAGGCTGCCTCTGGCCCTTTTATATTCATGACTTTGTTTACCTTGAACAAATACCCTCCCTAGAAACTTCTTTAAAGTAGAAGTTTTGTAGTTAATGTATGATAGAAAAACCTATGCAAATAGATGCTGAGTCTATGGAAATACTAAAGGACAAAGACAATTATGTGTAAAAAGATTTTTCAGAGCAGTCAGGGTGAGAAAGGAAAAGAGTTGAAGTGGTATGTGGTTATTTAAGTAGAGCTTTCTGTCCATACCTACATCAACCCCATGCCCCTGAGGTCAGGTAATAAATGGTTGGGGAACCAGTCCTCGTAGTATAGATGGATTATGTGTATATGCCTAACTTCAATAGGGATTTAATTAAGTATTGTGGAAGTTTTCTGTTCTACCAGGTTGTGGAGTAAGGTAGTGGACTCCGAGTGATCTAAACTGTAATTCTTCCCCTGTTCCCTTTTGCTAAATGACTTTTCTTTAACCCTGGCTTCCTCATTTACAGAACAAAAATAATGTCTACCTTGAAACTCTGTGGTGATGATTTACACACACTCAGGGATGACAATAATGATTGGGTCAAATGCATCATTCTAATCAACCATACCAAGAGGGACATAGACCTAAACATGTGTATTATCTTTCCTACAGGAACCCTAGTCATAAGGAGTCATCGTTGCTCCTGCATCAGCACCAGCCGAGGCTCGATCCACTACAGGTCCTTAAGAGATCTCAAACAGTTTGCCCCCAGCCCTCATTGCAACAAAACTGAAATCATGTGAGTAAAAGCTTCCAACTCATGCATTTCCTTCTGAACTTGGTGGGAGTCTCACCTTCAGACTGCTTGCTCTCATGGGCAGTTGGATCCTCAATAAATCTGTCTGCTCTAATTTTTTTCTTATCCCCTCAAATAAGAAATTTCTGATAGACACTGAAAATGAAAGATGATATGCCTTTTAAATAATGAAGTGTTCCCAAGACTAACTTATCTTTTTAAGGCTATTTTGGATTGTAATTCAGAAAACATGTATTTGAATGTCAAAAATTGGCTTCCATGAATGCGCTCAAACTACACTGAGTGAAATTCTCAGTGAATTAATAAAACATAAATTTTAATAGATAAAAGGCAATACAATTGGGATTTTTTAAAAATGGGCTCCCAGATGCTTAACTGTTTAAGGCAGATTGTTGAAAAGAAAATAGTTGTAATTCTGCTCTCCTGGCCCCTCAGTACCTTCATCTCTTTCACGTGTGTGCTCCTGCTTATATGTGATGTGTACATGTATACATGCATACAAAAGTAAAGTCAATAAGGTTACACGTGATATCTCGTAGTTACTGCTTCTCTGTTAATTCAAGTTCCTAAGTTTCAATTTCCTGAAGGTAACTATGGAATAGTCCAGAAACAAATGGTTTGTAAGTTTTTAGAAATTTCACTATGGTACATTGTTGCAATTGCTTCATTTTGATATTACTTGTTGTTGCTGATATCTTATTTTAGTTTACACATTAGACTTTAAGTACATAGGCACCATCCAAGAGTGTAAGAACCTAGACATCTTCCTTTTGGGTAAGTTCTTATTTGTAATTTGAATTTTCTTTAACATATTAATAATGGACAGTTTCTCACACCAGTTAATTTTCTCTAATAACGCCATACTTGTAGGGTTTTTTGAGGAGAGGGACTAGAAATTGAACCCAGGACTTTGCATGGGCTATTCATATGCTATCCACTGAACACTACTCCTGAGCCCTAAGAATAACTTTAAATTTTTCAAGAGATGGCTGAGAGGTTAATTGCACTTGTTGCTGGGTTTTGTTGTTTGTTGGTTGATTTGTTGGTTTGGTTTGGTTTTCGTGACAGGGTTTCTCTGTGTAGTCCTGGCTGTCCTGGATTCACTCTGTAGACCAGGCTGGTCTCAAATTCAGAGATCTGTCTACCTCTGCCTCTGTGCTAGGATTAAAGGCATATGCCACCACCAGTCGGCATGCTCCCAAAAAAAGCACTTGAGTGTAGTTTGTATCACCCACGTTGGACAAGTTGCAGCCATCTGTAACTCCACCCCCAGGAGGTCCTGCACCCTCTTCTGGGCTCAGTGGGTAACTGTATACAAGTACACATATTCATACAGAGACACATGTAAATTAAAAGTAAAATCACATATTCACATAGAGACACACATAAATTAAAAGTAAAATAATTTTTAAGTCATTATTCTGTGTGTTCAAGTGCACATACCACAGCAGGACAACTTAGTGGAGTCAGTTCTCTCCTCTGTCCTTATTTGAGTTTCTGGGGGTTGAATTCACTCTCCAAGCCTAGGAGGCAAGTATACTTACCCACTGAGCCAACTCGCTGGCCCTAATAATGACTTTTAATGGCTAAATTGTTTTATGCCATATCGATATGCCATAATTTGCAGAGTCAATGCTCATTGCTAGAAATGTAGGTTATGTCAAAAATTTTACAATTGTCACACCATTACTGTTGCTAGCAATACTTTCTAGATATTAGAATTCTGTTTGTTTGTTTTGTGACAGAATCTTCTTATGTAGCCAAGGATAGCATCAACCTCAAGATTCTCTTACATCAGCTACCTGAGTACTGGAATTCCAGGCCCCCATTCCCAGCCTCTTGGAAATTAGAGTTGTGACATGAAAGGCTATGCATATGTAAGACCTTTGACACCTAAACCAAGGGAAGTCTATATGGAATAGCTATTATTCTCAAGTTGTCTAGAGAAATTAATATTAAAAAATGTGACTTCTCCTGAAAAGTCTGCTACAATTTCTGAAATCTTCCTGTTAATCTCAACACATTTTTTCTGTATTTTAAGTGGTTTCATTGGAAAACTCTCAGTATCTCCCCCCCCCACTATTTCTACTAAGAATTGTTAAATTGTTATTGGGGAGAAAGCTCACTGGTGTTTCTCTGGCAGCGCTACACTGAAGAGTGGTACTCAAACCTGTCTGAACCCAGATTCGGCAAATGTAAAGAAGCTGATAAAAGAATGGGAGAAACAGGTTGGTGATGGGGTGATGGGGGAAGACACACAATTTCCTTCTTTTGGAGAGTAACTGTAACTCATGGGGATATGGGTGTGTCCATTGAGGATACATTTCCATCCATTTGAATTGTATCAAATACTAAGAATTCAAAAGTAACAAACTATAGCAGACCATAATTAACAATGTATAAAAACCCAGACTTAGTGGGAGACATATAGGATAGTGTACACACAAGAATCTTGAAATTTATGAAGCAAAGAGTAATTGACTTGGCCAGGAAGTGGAACAGAGAGCATTAAGGTAGACTTCGCTGTATCAAGTGACCTTTGATTTAGATCTTAAAGGAGAAGGTATTTGCCAGGAAGGTAATTAAGCACAGTGTGGGTGGTAGTGGTTTCTCGAAGTTCGGTGCTTCTGATGTAATGCAGTTGGAATTTAAGTGAGGCAAACACAAGACTGAGATGGGAAAGAAACCAGGACAGAATGGGAAGAGCCCCAGCTGTTAAGCTTCGGGCAAGCACGCCCCTTTTCACCTTCAGCGCTTCTCAACCTTCCTAATGCTCCAACCCTTTAATACAGCTCCTCATGCTGTGGTGACCCCCAACGACAAAATTATGCTGTTGTCAATCCATAACTATAATTTGGCTATTGTTATGAATTGTAATGTAAGTATCTGATAAGCAACCCCCAAAGGAGTCTCAACCCCACAGGTTGAGAACCACCGGCTTATATGTAAGGTGGAAGATCAGTACCAGCCCCAGCGGGCTGCGCTTGTTTGGCACAGGTGGGTAATGAAGGAGGGTGAAGTGAAAACAGGGAAATGCCAGGAAGAAGAACAAACATGAGCAAAGAGGGAGCTGTGGTTGCTTCTCTGACATGGGGAGAATGGTTGGCATGGCTAGTCTCTTGAGAGAGCAGTGACTTATGGTGGTTCTGGGGAGAAGGAAGGACAGCTGGGAGGAGTTCAACCATCTGGAGCGAAAATGGCAACATTTGAAAGCATTGTCTTTTTCTCACTTTCTGCAGATCAGCCAAAAGAAGAAGCAAAAAAGGGGGAGAAAACAGCAAAAGAACAAGAAAACTGGAAAAGCTAAAAAACCCAAAGGTCCTCATGCAAAGACTCCCTAAGAGACCACTTTACCAACAAGTGCTCTGAGTTTAAATGGCTTTTAGAGGATACTGAAATGCCTTCGGTGGGGAGTGGGCTCTAGCACAAACTCATGAAGTTGGTTAGAAATATAAAGCATGATTTTAAAAGTATAACTAATGCCAGAAAGCTAATTGTCAAATCCAAATAGTAAGGGTTGCTAGAGACAAAAACTGTCTTTGTTATACTCAGCCAACAAAATTGTATCACGCTCTTGAGCAAGGTCATGATAATATCAGATCTGAACAAGTGTCCCTGGATGCTTATCCCATGCACAGCAGCTGTCTGGGCTTCCAGAGTCACACATTGCAGCATCCACAGGGTTCTGTATGCTGGCCATCAGCAGCTGCACATGGACCAGCCTATAGGCCCAGCATGCAGTATATCAAAGAGATCATGCTAATGGTTTTTGGGTTCCACAAGAGACATTGCCAGACATGGCTTTTAGAGTCTTCCATGTAGCTTTTGAGACCGTGTGATTTCATCATTGATTTGATCCCATATTCAAGGCTCATTTCCAGTTAGCTTCTTAAATAAAACCCTTCTAGAGGGCTGCAGTCATAGCTTAGTGGTAGAGCACCTGCCTTGCATAGACAAGGCCCTGGAGTTGATCACTAACAGTGCAAAAACTTAGTAATTAAAAAATTTTTTCTGGCTACTCAAATTCTCTGAAGTCTCTTTTTTCACTTGTTGCTCAGCATCTCATGAGTAAACACTTCGCTGTTACCTAATTATTTTTTGTGTGTTTTTCTCTTTCCAATAGGATTGCTTTTAGATCCCATGGGTTATTCCCATAAATCTTCCATGGTGCCTAAAACTTGATTCTGAATGATTTCTTAATTGCATGTGTTAGAGGTAGAAAGGCCATTAGACACCAGGCATTGACCAACCCTGGCTATTCTATGTTGCACAACTCTAACCCTTGATCTTTTTTTTTTCCCCACTTTCTCATCTGGCAATCCTAGAATTCACTATGCAGACAAGGCTAGCCTTGAACTCACATATATCTGCCTTCTAAATGCTGGGATTAAAGGTGTATACTACCTCCTTTTTTTTAAAACATATTTTTTTCTACTTAGCTTTCATATTATCTTCAGGCATCATCAATACACTAGCCATCATCAAAGTATAACCTTCCCTTTTGACAGGATGCTAACATCTTAAACACATGGGAATCACATGTTTAAGACATTTGTGGCTATTCCCAAACTGTTTACAAAATACATAGGACATCTTGAATCCCATAAGCTGACAACAAAAAGTGGCTTTATTGATCCTCAAGTGCCAGACCTTTCCCCATTCAAAAATTCTTCTATTGCCATTCCTGCTCAGCTCTGGTTCCCACAAATTAACGAAACAGCTGCCAACTCCTTTAATAAGTTCAGGGGGATATGAATTTCATTGTCACCTTCCCTCGTTTCAGGATGCCCAGAGTATTATCATGTCAATTGCCACATCTGAAAATCAGTGGTAAGCTGCCAAGGCAGGGACTGGGCTAGAGAAGTGGTCTGTGCTTGTAGAGGAGCCAGAGTTCCCAGCAACCACATTGGGGAACTCACAACCTCTTGGAACTCCAGCTCCAGGGGATCCAGTTCTTCCGGTCATTGAACAGATGTGCACAAGCCCACACTCAGGCATGACATACACATAACTTAAAAGCAAAATGAAATCTTTACAAAAATACGTTTTTAAAAAACCAAGAGCTACAGGAAACAGTAAATTCTGTTGGTGGAGACATGGACAGGGCCAAGTTAGCCTCTGCTGGGGTTGGAAACTGTCTTAGAGAGTAGGAGGTCCAGTGAGCTAAGTAGAAAAGAATGTCTCTGGCTAAAACTTCAGCCTCCATTCATGCACTTCCCCAAATCTGTCATCCCTCGCACTGCAGGTGGTTTTGAGTATTGCTGGTGGGAATCCTAGCCAAACACCAGCTTTTTCCAAGTAACATACTCTGAAAAAAAAAATCTAAAAATGTTTCTTAACTAGTTAGCCTATGGCCCTTGCACATGACAAGTGGGCAGTGTACATAACAACCAGCCAAATACTGTGTTTTCACTATGTAACCACAGTGGATATATAGCATATGCCTACAGTATAACTTCATAGATATACTCTAAGTAATCTTTGATCCAAGCAATATTGGCATATGTGCTTTGATGCTGTTTTGTGGAAGGACAGGGATTCAATAAAAGCTCACTCATAACAAAATAAACTTTTTAAAATGTCTTTATCTGCCCTTTAGTTGCTGTGTGCTTCAGAATAATTCTCCTGTGTTTTTTATTCATTTGTTTTTTGGCTTTCATCGCACGCTATTGATGTCAACTGAGATAAAGGCATGAAAGCACTTTAATGGGCTTCTCTAGGAAATAATACAGCACTGCTTGTTAGGTTTTCTATTGCTGTGATGAAACACCATGACCAAAAGCAACCTGGGAAGGAAAGGGTTCATTTCGCTTATACTCAATACCACACTATATCACTGAACACAGTCAAGACAGGAGTTCAAACAGGGTAGGAACCTAGGAGCTGGTACAATAGAGGCTACGGGGCTCTGCTTACTGCCTTTCTCACCATGGCTTGCCAAGTTTGCTATCCTATAGCACCCATGCCCACCACCCCTGTGGTGGCATCACCCACAATGGCCTGGGCTCTCCAATATAAATCACTAAGTAAATACCCTATAGCCCAATCTTATAAAATCATTTTCTCAGTTGAGGTTCCCTCCCCTCAGATGACTCTAGTTTGTGTCAAGTTGACATATTTAGCCAACACACTACCTTATAATAACATAGATTATATGAGATATATAGGGCTGGGCAGTGGTGGTGATGAGTCTTTAATCTCAACACCTGGGAGGCAGAGGGAGAGTGATCTCTGTAAGTTCGAGGCCAGCCTGGTTTACAGAGCAAATTTCAGGATAGCCAAGGCTACATAGAGAAACCTTGTCTGGAAAAACAAAACAAAAGAAGAAGAAATAAAAGTTATGTTGGGGCTGGAGAGAAGATGGCCAGGGGTTAGGAGCACTAGCTGCTCTTCCAGAGGACCTAGCTTCAGTTCCCAGCATCCTCATGACAGCTTATAACTGTCTATAACTGTTTTCTGTCAGCTTATTGGCCATATATGAATCCAATGATATTTTAACTACATTCTGCACCCTAAGGCACCACAGTCAGCAACCCACCACTCAGACCACAGACTGAAAGGATTTCTGGTCTCTCCAGGGGATGTGATTTCCTCTTCTGGCCTCTTGCAGTGAGGTATGCACATGGTGCATAGACATACACTCAAGCAAAGGGTCCATACACTTAAAATTAAACAAAAATACAAGGAAGTACATAACATTCAATTTATTCTCTAACTATCAAGAGTCAACACTATTTGCGTGAACAAACCAAAAATCTTTTCGCTACCCTAAAATCACATATGTTCAAGTAACATAAAGCCTTAAATAGGGATGGTGGAGAACACAAACCAGACCAGTTGAGTCGAGGGACCCAGGATTTACGAAATTATCTTCCAAAGGCCTCTCTGACTGTGCCCCTGCATGTCCTGAGCCTCTCTTTGCCGGCTTTGGGGCACAGAGTTCATTTCCTTTTCAGAGCCCAGGCAGGATCCCTGTTATTCTGGGATCCTGTCACCATAGTTGTGCTGGACGCTGGACCATGTCATGTTGACGTGGTTGTACTGGGAGTTGCACTTCCTATAATCCCTTCCCTGCGTATTCCTTGGGCTTAATTACCAGCCTGTGATTACCTCTTTGTAGGAGATAAAAACTCGAAGAGGTGGGCCCACTGGGACTGGGGGAAGTTAAGTAAGGACATTTACTTGAAGAGGATGTTGGAATCCTAACCCTTCCACCACGCTCCACTTCTCTTTTTCTTCCTGGAGACCATGTTTGAACAGTCCTTTGCCGCCATGAAGACTTCCATGATATACTATGTGTACCTCATGAGCTCAAAGCAACTGGGCAAAGAAACCACAGAGTGAAACCATAAGCTATACCCATCCTCCTTTTATGTTGACTGGATTGCATATTTATCCTAGTGATGGAAAGGCAATATAGTTACGACACTTGGACTAGAGCTATGCAGTGTGGGACCTCTAGGAAGGTTGATGGTAGACAGAAAACATCAGCCTGTACAACTGAGATAGCGAGAAGCCAGACTGGTAGGGTGTTTGGGCAGGAGTTAGCCACTAGTGGTATACATGTATTTCCCAAGGGCCTTTACCTATGAAGCCACAAGATGCTGAGAAAAGAGCAAAGACTTTTTAGATTTTAAGATTCTCTCTGCATTCATTTCCTCATCCAGGATCATTGTGAGAGACAGAATTTATATAGATCTTGGTATGTAGGAAGCCCACTCATCGCTGCCAGACCTGCCTCTCACCAAAGGCTATATGTATGGCCTCATGGACAAAGAGCTGTATGTAGATGAAAAACTATGTTGGAGAAATGAGACCTGAGTAGGTCTCTCTAGGGTCATTTTCATAGCTCCAATGCAGACTATTGTGGCCTTTTTCCTGGGTTACCATAGTGGTTTCCTATATTCTCTTCCTATGTTCTCTTGCTTCCCCACCACAGCCAGGATGATCTTTTTAAAATAATAATGCAAGGGCTGGAGAGATGGCTCAGAGGTTAAGAGTACTGTCTGCTCTTCCAGAGGTCCTGAGTTCAATTCCCAGCAACCACATGGTGGCTCACCGCCATCTCTAATGAGATCTGATGCCAACTTCTGGTGTGCAGGAATACATGTGGGCAGAACACTGTGTACATAATAAATCTTAAAAATTAAATTAAAAACATAGTAATTCAAAATACAATACTTGGATTAAAATCTTGGAATTTACAATGGGACCAAAGGTGTCACATGTAATCTCTGCTGGGCTCTGCCTGTCTCTCCATGTTCCTTCATGTATGAGGCTCAGCATTTTTGTCTCGGGCACACGGTGTTAGTTTCCTTCTCAAAGCCTTTTGAAGATTCTGCTTCTTCTAGGTTGGGCTGTTCCATCAACTTGGTGGGATGGGGATCTGCACCTCCTGGAGTCTTACCCTCTGTGTGCCTCTTAGGGAGAGCTAGCTGACAAGGGACTTGGTGGTCCAGAGTGATGGAAGAGTGCCAATAATCTTCAGCGAACTACTAGACAAACTGGAACTCACTGCCTCTCAGCTTGACTG